GTTGTTGTTGTTGGTGTTGTTGTTGTTGTTTGTTGTTTGTTGTTTGTTGTTTGTTGTTTGTTGTTTGTTGTTTGTTGTTTGTTGTTTGTTGGTTGTTGGTTGTTGGTTGTTGGTTGTTGGTTGTTGGTTGTTGGTTGTTGTTGTTGTTGTTGTTGTTGTTGTTGTTGTTGTTGTTGAATGAGGACGATTAGACCGGCCCGGGGGGACCCCAGCAACCCCAGCAACCCCAGCAACCCCAGCAACCCTTCCGCGGCCGCGGAAGGGGTCCGGGTAGGATCCCATAGGATTCCTGAGGGATCCCTATCGGATTCCTCAGGGATCCCATAGGATTCCTTAGGGATCCCATAGGTTTCCTATACGATTCCTATAGGATTCCTTAGGGATCCCATAGGATTCCTATACGATTCCTATAGGATTACCATATCGAGGGATCCCATAGGTTTCCTATACGATTCCTATAGGATTCCTTAGGGATCCCATAGGATTCCTATACGATTCCTATAGGATTCCTAAGGGATCCCATAGGCTTCCTCAGGGATCCCATAGGATTCCTCAGGGTACCTAAGGGATACCCATAGGATCCCCATAGGATTCCTAAGGGATCCCATAGGATTCCCATACGATTCCTTTAGGATCCGCATAGGATTCCTATAGGATTCCAGTAGGATTCCTAAGGGATCCCATAGGATTCCTCAGGGACCCCATCGGATTCCCAAGGGACCCTACAGGATTCCTCAGGGATCCCATAGGATTCCTAAGGGCTCCCATAGGATTCCTAAGGGACCCCATGGGATTCCTAAGGGATCCTGTAGGATTCCTTAGGGATTCCATAGGATTCCTAAGGGATCCCATGGGATCCTATAGGATTCCTCAGGGATCCCATAGGATTCCTAAGGGGCCCCATAGGATTCCCAAGGGATCCCCATAGGATTCCTAAGGGAACCCATCGGATTCCCATACGATTCCTATAGGATCCGCATAGGATTCCTAAGGGATCCTATAGGATTCCTAAGGGATCCTATAGGATTCCTCAGGGATCCCATCGGATTCCTAAGGGATCTCATAGGAATCCTAAGGGATCCCATAGGATGCCTATAGGATTCCAATAGGATTCCCATAGGATCCCAGTAGGATTCCTCAGGGACCCCATAGGATTCCCAAGGGATCCCATAGGATTCCTAAGGGATCCCATAGGATTCCCGTACGATTCCTATAGGATCCCCATAGGGTTCCTAAGGGATCCTATAGGATTCCTAAGGGATCCTATAGGATTCTTGAGGGATCCCATCGGATTCCTAAGGGATCCCATAGGATTCCTAAGGGATCCCATAGGATTACTATAGGATTCCAACAGGATTCCTATAGGATCCCCAGTGGGATTCCTAAGGGAACCCATAGGATTCCTCAGGGACCCCATAGGATTCCCAAGGGACCCTACAGATTTGACTTCGCCATCCCTGGGGGGGCTGCGGTCTGCGAAACTGTCGCCACTTTCGAGGGCTGCTGGGGGGGGGGGGGGCATCGGAGTGACCTGCGCGGGGACTTAGTATAAACAGGTTGGATCCTTCGGAACGCTGAAATAGGAATTCGATAGGAAATGGTCGAGTCCCAGCCGCCGGAGGAATTCCTTATCATTTATTTGTGTTTGAATCGGAATTCAATAGGACATGGTCGAGTCGGGGACGGGGGGGTCCTTAACTGCGTCCCCCCGTCGGGGCCCGAAAATGAACCTCTTGGGGCCCTCGTGGGCCGCTCTTGGAGCGGTCTTGGGGTGTTCTTGGGGCGGTCTTGGGGCCCCCCTGGGCCCCTTTTGGGGCCCTCTTGGGCCATCCAGAAGCCATCTTGAGGCCTCAAGAGGCCATCGGGCGCGAAAGGGTGACAATGCAAAAAACATCGGAAAAACATACAGGATTTGAATGATTTTGGCCTCTTGAGGGCTTCCTTGGAGGGCTCGAAAGGCACTTGGAGCCGTCCTGGGGCGGTCTCCAGAGCTCTTGGATGCATGTTGATAGCTATCTTGAACCCATCTTGGGATATCTTGCGCGATCTTGGAGACCATCTTGGGCTCTCTGGGACCCGCTTGGAGCCATCTTGGGCCATCTTGGACGCTCCAACCGCTCGCGGCACCCTCCCTCCAGGTCCAGGGGGAGGGGGTAGGGGGAGGGGGAACCCCCTCCCCGAAGGGGAAAAAGGGGGTTTAGCAGAACGAGCTCCTTAGACCACTCACGCCCTAAAGTGCTGGTGGGATTCGCCGGTTTGGGCCCACGCTGGCTAACATCGTGGCCACTGTGCCCCAGGCCTCTTGGGCGAACCCCACCGCGAACACCTTGGGCAAAGCTGTTGTTGTTGTTGTTGCTCCTGGGTCTCCTCCTCCTTGCGTTCCAGCGTGGGCGTGCATGGTTGAATGCGCCCAGGGTATTTTTTCTTCGGGCCCCAGGACTCACGGAAATCGACCCGCGGTCCGAAATCATGATTCCAGGACGGCCTCCAGGTGCGCAGATCGCTCAAGAGTGAACGACCCACGCGATGTCAGCAGCCAGTTCCCATGTCGTCGCGACTGCGGTCGTCTGCGTCGTCGTGGTCGCCATCGCCCTCATGTCATCGGCTGGCTCGAGTGGCGCCCTGCGCCCTGGCTTTCAGCAAGCTGATTTCCTAAGCTCCTCCACCATGCCTCAGCAGGGCCATCCTGGGATGCAGGATGCTGTATCGACCCTCCTGCCCAAGGCAGGAGGGCGCATACACCATGCCGGGGTCCAGGATGGCCCTGGCCTGGCGTGGTGGCGGTGTATGCTTACCTGCCTTCTCGCGTGCAGGATCCAGTTGGCTTCGCCGTGAGCAGCACGCCAGACCTCAGCAGCAGCACCGTGACCATCACGATCATCACCGGCTCCGACTTGGGCGTCTTGGAGCTCCACAGCAACAACACCACAGACACCACCGCGATATTCTTCGGCAGGGAGCGATCGCGTTTGTTCTGGTGCACGCGGCGGCGGCGGTGGCGACGGCAACGGCTTCGCCGAGGCCGTGCCCTACTACAGGCGGCAGCGGCGGCGGCGAACGCCAAGGCCGAGGCGTCCGGCGGCGCGGGGCGCGGCCAGGGCGCACGGCGGATCGCGGCGGCTGCTGCGGCGGCAGGCGCCGCCGCCGCAGCGGCGGCTGGCGCGGAGGGCTCGGAGGGCCAGGCGGAGGACGATGAGTTTTCGGCCGCGGACCTCGAAAAGTGGATGGTCATCAAGAAGCGCGCAGGCTATCCACCTGGCTACAGCCAGCCCCGCCCTCGTGCCAGCGCAGCATCGCGGGGAGTGGCGGTCCGCGCGGGTCCTCCCGGGGCCCCCCAGGGAAGAACAGCCGACGCCCCTGCCAGACAGCGCATGGCACTTCAAAGCGCTTGGGCCCAGCATGGGTGGCGGATTGCGGACTATGCGTCGGAGTTTTCCGAGACTGGACAGGCCGCAAAAGCCGCAGGCCACCTTGCAAGGCGCACGCCGACAGCCGCGACGTGCTGACGCCGGAGGAGATGGTGCAGCTGCGTCAAGAGTTTGTGGAGGAGCTCGCGAACCCTGCTTTGGCCAAGGAGAGAAAAGTTGCAAAGGCAAAGGCTAGGCACCACGCGGGGTGGAAACCTCCGGAGGCGCCGCAATCTCAGGAGGAGTACCGCTTTGATTTCGGGAAACATTCTGGTTCCACCTTGAGGAGTGTGCTTCAGGAGGACCCTGGCTACCTTGATCGGTTGATGAGTTGGAGGAACAACATCCTGGACCAGAAGCTGACATTGAGGTGTGCTCTTGAGAAGGAGGGCCTCCTCGAGGGGCTCCTGGCGAAGAGGCCCCAGCTGATGGTCGAGAGAGCGCGGGGGATGATCGCGAAGGCGGCGGAGGACAAGGACAAGCCCCTGCATCCGGAAATCGCCAAGTTGCGGGTCGCGCAGCACATCGAGGCCACCGAAATCTTGGCCATGCATTCCAGCGAGACTGCCGTGGCGGCGCTTGCAGCGCCCCCGCGGGACCAGCAGCAGAAGAGAAAACGAGTGTCGGCAGCCAGGTACCTTCTCCCGCACTGTTCCAGATGTGGGAGCGTGGAGCACAAGCGGCCGCAGTGCCCGAACAAATCGCTGCAGGGCGAGGTCGTGGAGGACTGCCGCAGCCAGGCCGTCGTGGATTACATGCGGAACCGCCGATCTGCTGCACTTGTCGCCAGGCTGAAGTACACGCAAATATCTATCAGAACGCGGGAGTACGAAGAGAGGGCGAAGAAGATGGCGAGGGCCCCGATTGACACGGACTTTGTGCAAATGGCACGGTGGTCCCCAGAAGAGTTCGTCCACTACCTCGTGTCCGCTGGCATTTTGCACGACTTGAAAGGGACGCCGTGCCCGCGAGGGAAGTGCCAATCCTCCAAGAAGTCGAGCTTCCTCGAGGGCGCCGAGAAGGAGCTGGGCAAATTGCGATGCAATGCTGAAAAGGGGCAGGATATTATCATTGAGACTGCGTGGCACGCGTGTGGCGTGTGCCGCGTGCACCAATCCGTGGCTCTGCACAATCCGTTGTTCTCTGGCCTGCTTGGGAAGGGCAGCAAGGGCGTGTCGATGTGCGTGATGGCGTGGTGGCTAGCCGCTGAAGGGGTCCCTGAGTCGGTGGCAGTGCGGCAGCTCAATATCCATGAGGGCGTCGTGCAAGGTTACTGCGCCCGGGCTCGCGCGATCATGTCTGCGGCAGCGATTCGCATGCAAAGGGGTATCAGGGAGGCTGTCGCCGGCCCGGGGAGGAGGGGGGTGTCGGGCAGGGGTGACGGCGGGGGGGAGGAGGGGAGGACGGGGGGGACACAGCGGGGGAGGAGGAGGAGGAGGGGGAGGAGGAGGAGGCGGAGGAGGAGGAGGGAGGCGGAGGAGGTTCAGGAACAGCAGCAGCAGGAGGAGCAGCAGCAGCAGTCCTATCCTATCCTACCCCATCCTCCCTCCCCTTTCCCCCCCCTTCCCTCTTCTCCTCGTTTTCTCCCTCCTGCTCCTCCCCTCCTCCTACTATTACTGACTACGACTACCTACGACTTACTACTCTACTATCTTTTTTTTTTTTTACTATTACTACTACCACTACTACCCTTGGGGGGACTACTACTACTACTACTACGACTTACTACTACTACTACTACTACTACCACTACTACTACTACTACGACTACTATTACTAGTACTACTACTACAACTACTAGTACTACTACTAGTACTACTGGTACTACTACTACTACTAAGACTTACTACTACTACCACGACTACTACTAGTACTACAACACTACTACTAATACTACATACTAACTACTACTACGCACTACTCTCATACTACTACTTACTACTCACTACTACTACTACGAAAATTCTACTACTACCATCTCTACAGAAACTACTACTACACTTTTTCTACGAGTACAACTTTTTCGAATACTTACTACTACTACTACTACACTACTTGCTACAACTACTTTACGACCACATCTACAGCAATCCGACTACCTACTACTACTACTACTACCGCAAACTACTACTACTACTACTACTACTACTACTACTACTACTACTACTACCCACTACTACTAACTACTACTAACTACTAACTACTAACTACTAACTACTACTACTACTACTACTACTACTACTACTACTACTACTACTACTACTACTACTACATCTACCACTACTACTACTACTACTACTACTACAACGACTACTACTACTACCACTACTACGAGTACAACCACTACTAATACCACTACTACTACTACTACTACTGCTACTACTACTACTACTACTACTACAAATTCTACTACTACTACTACACTTTTCTACGAGTACAACTTCGACTACTACTACTACTACTACTACTACTACTGCTACAACTACTACGACCACTACCAGCACTACTACTACTACTACTACTACTACTACTACTACTAGTACTACTACTTCTGCTACTACCACTACTACTACTACTACTACCACGAGTAGTACTACTACTACCACTACTACTACTACTACCACTACTACTAATATTACTACTACTACTACGACTACTACTACTACTACTACTACTACATCTACCACTACTACTACTACTAGTACTACAAACGACTGTACTACTGGCAAAGCACTAATGACCACTACTACTATTACTCATACACTACTACTACTACGTGACTGTCCCTACGACTAAATCTACGATTACTACTGTATACTCACTACTACTACTCGAACTACCACTAATACTACTACTAATTACTAACAATACGATTACCACGACTAATACTAATACTATACTATCCTACCACTATAACGACAACTACTACTACTACTACTACTACTACTACTACTACTACAATACTACAATAATACTACTTCTACTACTACTACTACTACTACTACTACTACTACTACTACTACTACTACTACTACTACTACTACTACTACTACTACTACTACTACTACTACTACTACTACTACTACTACTACTACTACTACTACTACTACTACTACTACTAACTACGAGTACTACTAGAACCCGACTGCCGGGGTACGAACCCCTCGCCGGGGCGAGGGGAGAGGGGCGACGCCTGCCGCCCCGCGCGGGCGCGGGGGATTCAGTGGGGCACCGGCTCTTCTCGAACGGTCGAGGTGGAGGTCGATGCCACGGTCATTTGCAAGTGGAAAGCCGAGGAGAACGCCGAGCTGACGCATTCATATTACTGTTACATTGGCATTCGCCAGCGAGGTAGCACGTCCCACTTCGCCATGATGCCGCTGGGCGTGAGCAAATCTCAGAGGAGGGGCATTGGAGACACCGGCGGAGTCCCCTCCGGAGGGGGGGCCGGGCTCTCGTCGCCACGGCCGGGCGCAGTTCGGAAAACGTCCGTTCGTTGGCCCCGGGGAGGGTCCGGGAGGCGATTGTGCTCTGAGTCTGAGGTGCCAGTGTGTCAACTCCCCCTCCTCCGATAATCCACCGGCGAGGGCCGCGTGGCCCCCGAATCGTCCGAGGCGTATCACGCTTTCTGCAAGGAGATCCTTGGCGACCGCAAGTACAATCTGCTGCTCATGACAGACGGCGCGGGCTGCTACAAGTGCCGCTGCTCGGATTGCGTCGTGCGGTTTGAGGAGCACCACAGCGCGAACCACTCCAGGAAGCCGAAGGCCGAGTTTTCCCGGCCCATCCCCGCGGTCGTCGCCGACGTCGACACGGGCCACACGAGGGGATCTATGGCTGGCACGATGACGATCGACAAAGAATGGGATCTTCTCAAGGAGCCTTTGCCACGGAACCTGACTGCCCGCACTGTGGAGGACGTCGATAGGACGGACGGCTACGTGAGGTCTCAGCAATGGCGGCGCTTGGTCGGCAACGACGATCGATGGTCGGCTTTTCTCGACGCAGCCAGGGAGTGGGCGAAATGCGCCGATTCCAGAGCGAAGCTCAAGCTGGGTCTGGCAACGGGGAAAGCGGGCAAGTTGGCTCTGGCAGCGGGGAAGCGCTTGGCCGCCGAAGCCAACCCAGCAGATCGTCGGGAGGAGCGCGGGCCAAACCACCCCGAAGAACAGGGGCGAGAGCAGCGGGAGGAGCGCGCCCAAGAGCATTCCCAAGAGGCACCCGCACGCCATCGCGACGGGCATGCCGACGGCCGCGGCCCCGAGCATCGTGACGGGCAGGGTGGCCCCGCGCGCGGGCCCACCGCGCCGCCGGCGGCGGAGCCGCGGGTGCCCCCATGGCCGCTCCCGCCGCCGCCAGCCTGGCACGCGGGCGCCCTGTGGGGCGATCGGTATCTTGAGCGCCAGGGCAGCGCTCCCGTGTGCGGCCGGCATGCCTTGAACAATTTGTTGGGGGCGCCGCAGTTCTCGGACGGCGACTTGGAGGTGGCACGCGGCATTGTGGTGGCTCAGACAGATGATCCCCCCGACCTTCACGTGAGCGATGGAGGATGGTACTCCCACTCCGTGCTGGCGACTGTTCTGGATTCCGTCGTCCCTCCGTCGTGGCGAATGTTGTTGCGGCCTCTCTTGCCGTCTTCGTGGCAGGCATTCACGAGCAGCGACGACATGTTGGGGGCGCTGGTGAACCATAACAACGTCCATTGGTCGGCTATCCAGGTGCCTTCGGCGAATCCCGCCGCCGTGCCGGCGCAATGCTGGGTGTGATGGGCCTACTCGTCCGCATGTGTGGGCGTACGAGGACGAGTGGGAGGAGGAGGAGGAGGAGGAGGAGGAGGAGGGGGAGGAGGAGAAGGAGGAGGAGGAGGACGAGGACGAGGAGGAGGAGGAGGAGGAGGAGGAGGAGGAGGAGGAGGAGGAGGAGGTGGGGGAGGTGGGGGAGAAGGAGGTGGAGGTGGAGGTGGTGGAGGAGGGAGGGGAGGAGGAGGAGAGGGGGAGGTCGAGTGGGGGTTTTCCGCCTCAACATTTCTGGAGGCCTGGTGGCGGATTCTCAAGCACAACGACCGCGTGTGGCACGTAGACAGCCTCCGTGAACCCGCCATTCTAGACGAGGCAGCCTTCGGCAGGGCGCTCCGGAGGCATCCGATGGCGTTTCCCATCGTGACCAATTCATACCAGGAGTGAACGCACCTTTTGTGATCATACTTTCGGTGTCGTTGCGTGCACGACGAGCGCGCGGCGGTTTTCGAGCCATTCTCTCTGGTGCCCCTTTTCGGCTACATTGGCCTGGTGACTCGCCGTTGGAGCGAACAGTGCGTGTCGGAGACTTGGAATGTAGCGCTCTGTGTCTGCTGTTGCGTCGGATATTCGCCCGCGCTACAGTTATTGCCCGTGGTTGCTCGCGCGGGTTTTCCGCCGGCGTCGTCGCTTCCGCCGCCGTCGTCGTCGCCGCCGCCGCGCCCCCGCCGCCGCCGCCCCCCGCCGTCGGGCGCGGCAGACCCCCGAGGAGGCGCGGCTCCTTTCCGCGCGCCGCACGCGTCTTGCGGGAGAGAGTGCGGCGACGAGGCCCGCGAGCGACGCCGCCCTCCCAGCAGGCGCAGGCGACGCCACCCCCAGCCCCTGCGAAGGAAACCAAGGGGCAGCAGTTACAGGGAGCGGGGTACGGTGAGACCCCCGCCTGCTGCCCCAACACCCGAAGACCCGTGGCGGCCCCGGAGGCCCCCCGTGGCCCCCGGAGGCCCCAGGAGGCCCCAGGAAACCTCGGGAGGATCCTCCAGGCCCCCGCAGGCCCACGTTGGTTCGAAGATGCGCCCGCGGCGGCGGAGGACGGGAGAGGGGGACAGGAGGAGGACAGAGGAGGAGAGAGGAGGAGAGAGGAGGAGAGGAGGAGAGGAGGAAAGAGGAGGAGAGGAGGAGGAGAAGGAGGAGGCGAGGAGAGGAGGAGAGAGGAGAGGAGAGGAGGAGGAGAGGAGGAGAGGAGGAGAGGAGGAGAGGAGAGGAGGAGAGGAGGAGGTTGCCATTTTGGCTCGATGCAGAAACGCGCCGTATTGCGCGAATGGCTCGGGTGTAGTTGCCCGTCGTGCTGGTAGCGGAGCTCTGTTGCCCCCGCCAAACTTGTTGCATTGTTGGTGGTAGCGGTGCCCGTCGCGCTGGTAGCGGAGCTGGTAGTCGTAGCGGTGGGCTGGTGCCCGTCGCGTTGGTAGCGGGGCTCTGGTGCCCGCGCCGCGCACGCTGGTGCAACATCGCAAGCAATGCGCGGACATGCGCACGCTTCGCAATCGCGTGCGTCCACACACGTAGTAGTAGTAGTCGGAGTAGAAGTAGTAGTAGTAGTAGTAGTCGGTAGTTGTAGTAGTAGTAGTAGTAGTAGTTGTAGTAGTAGTAGGTAGTTAGTAGTATTCGTACTAGTAGTAGTAGTTGTAGTAGTAGTAGTAGTTAGTAGTTGTAGGTAGTAGTAGTAGTAGTAGTAGTAGTAGTGTAGTAGAGTCGTAGTAGTAGTAGTAGTGTAGTAGTAGTAGTAGTAGTTGTAGTAGTAGTAGTAGTAGTAGTAGTAGTAGTAGTAGTAGTAGTAGTAGTAGTAGTAGTAGTAGTAGTAGTAGTAGTAGTAGTAGTAGTAGTAGTAGTAGTAGTAGTAGTAGTAGTAGTAGTAGTAGTAGTAGTAGTAGTAGTAGTAGTAGTAGTAGTAGTAGTAGTAGTAGTAGTAGTAGTAGTAGTAGTAGTAGTAGTAGTAGTAGTAGTAGTAGTAGTAGTAGTAGTAGTAGTAGTAGTAGTAGTAGTAGTAGTAGTAGTAGTAGTAGTAGTAGTAGTAGTAGTAGTAGTAGTAGTAGTAGTAGTAGTAGTTAGTAGTAGTAGTAGTAGTTAGTAGTAGTAGTAGTAGTAGTAGTAGTAGTAGTAGTAGTAGTAGTAGTAGTAGTAGTAGTAGTAGTAGTAGTAGTAGTAGTAGTAGTAGTCCGTAGTAGTAGTAGCCCTAATGGAGCTCCTAATCGAGCTCCTAACAGAGCTCGTAGTAGAGCTCCTAGTAGAGCTCGTGGTAGAGCCCCTAGTAGAGCTCGCAGTAGAGATTTTGGCAGACCTCGCTCACACTAGAGCTCCTAATAGAGCACGTAGTAGAGCTCATAGTAGACCTCCTAATCGAGCTACCAGTAGAGCTCCTGGTAGAGCTCGCAGATTAACTCCTCATGGAGCTCGTAGTAGAGCTCGTAGTAGAGCTCCTAAGCGAGCTCCTGGTAGAGCTCCTAACAGGGCTCTTAACAGAGCTCCAAACGGAGCTCCTAATAGAGCTCGTAGTAGAGCTCGTGGTAGAGCTCGTAGTAGAGCTCGTGGTAGAGCTCGTGGTAGAACTCGAAGTAGAGCTCCTCGTAGGGCTCGTAGTAGATCTCGTAGTAGAGCTCGTAGTAGGGCTCGTAGTAGAGCTCTTAATAGAGCTCGTATTAGAGCTCGTGGTAGAGCTCGTATTAGAGCTCGTAGTAGAGCTCCTAATAGAGCTCGTAGTAGAGCTCGTAGTAGAGCTCCTAACAGAGCTCCTAATAGAGCTCCTAGCAGAGCTCCTCATAGAGCTCATAGAGCTCCTCTATGGGATTCCTAAGGGATCCTATAGGATTCCGAAGGGATCCCACAGGGTTCCTAAGGAATCCTATAGGATTCCTAAGGGATCCTATAGGATTCCTAAGGGATCCCATCGGATTCCTAAGGGATCCCATAGGATTCCTAAGGGATCCCATAGGATTCCTAAGGGATCCTATAAGATTCCTATAGGATTCCTAAGGGATCCCATAGGATTCCTATAGGATTCCTAAGGGATCCAATAGGATTCCTAAGGGATTCCTCAGGGATCCCATAGGATCCTCTAGGGTTCTTAATGAATCCTATAGTATTCCTAAGGGATCCCATAGGATTCCTAAGGGATCCCATCGGATTCTTAAGGGATCCCACAGGATTCCTAAGGGATCCCATAGGATTCCTAAGGGATCCTATAGGATTCCTAAGGGATCCCATAGGATTCCTAAGGGATCCCATAGGATTCCTAAGGGATCCTATAGGATTCCTAAGGGATCCCATAGGATTCCTAAGGGATCCTATAGGATTCCTAAGGGATGCCATAGGATTCCTAAGGGATCCTATAGGATTCCTAAGGGATCCCATAGGATTCCTAAGGGATCCCATAGGATTCCTAAGGGATCCTATAGAATTCCTAAGGGATCCCATAGGATTCCTAAGGGATCCTATAGGATTCCTATAGGATTCCTAAGGAATCCTATAGCATTCCTAAGGGATCTTATAGGATCCTATAGGGTCCTATAGGATCCTATAGGGTCCTATAGGATTTCTAGAGGATCCTATAGGATTTCATAGATTTCCTATAGGATCCTTCAGGATTTCTATAGGATCCTATAGGATTTCCTATGGGATTTCATAGGATTTCTAGAGGATCCTATAGATCCTATAGGATATTATAGGATCCTAGCAGAGCTCCTCATAGAGCTCATAGAGCTCCTCTATGGGATTCCTAAGGGATCCTATAGGATTCCGAAGGGATCCCACAGGGTTCCTAAGGAATCCTATAGGATTCCTAAGGGATCCTATAGGATTCCTAAGGGATTCCATAGGATTCCTAAGGGATCCCACAGGGTTCCTAAGGAATCCTATAGGATTCCTAAGGGATCCTCTAGGATTCCTAAGGGATCCTCTAGGATTCCTAAGGGATCCCATAGGATTCCTAAGGGATCCCATAGGATTCCTAAGGGATCCTATAGGATTCCTATAGGATTCCTAAGGAATCCCATAGGATTCCTAAGGAATCCCATAGGATTCCTAAGGGATCCTCTAGGATTCCTAAGGGATCCCATAGGATTCCTAAGGGATCCCATAGGATTCCTAAGGGATCCTATAGGATTCCTATAGGATTCCTAAGGAATCCCATAGGATTCCTAAGGAATCCCATAGGATTCCTAAGGGATCCTATAGGATTCCTATAGGATTCCTAAGGAATCCCATAGGATTCCTAAGGAATCCCATAGGATTCCAAAGGGATCCTATAGGATTCCTATAGGATTCCTAAGGAATCCTATAGTATTCCTAAGGGATCCTATAGGATTTCCTATAGGATCCTATAGGATTTCTCGAGGATCCTATAGGATTCCTCAAGAGCTCGCTGCACCGGTGCGCACACGCGTCGTGCTGTCAGAATCCGCATGGAGGACGTAGCGTTGAGAGCTTGGTCTGTGGAGGTAAGCTTTCGGGGTTGCTGGGGGTTGCTGGGGTTGCTGGGGTTGCTGGGGTTGCTGGGGTTGCTGGGGTCCCGCGGTTGCCTCCGGGCCGGTCAAGTCGGCCTTGTCCCTAGGGGAGGAGGCGCTGTGGAGCTCCCCACTGGACGGGCCGGTCAACTGCGCCTCGTTCTTGTTGTTGTTGTTGTTGTTGTTGATGTTGTTGAACTCTCACTCTTGAGGAACAATGATTGTTGATCCCCCCCCACCGGTGCACATTGATTCTTCCAACTGAAGTGCCCCCCCCGGGGCTCGCACTTTGTTTTTTCTCAAAAAGCAAATCTTCCTGCTCAAACTGGCCCCCTGGCCCCCGGGTTACAACAACAACGGCTCCCGCCTGAAACTTCCTCACGATTTAACCAGGACCCCCGCTCCCGCCCGAGACTTCCTCGCATGTTATTCAAGAATCGCGCTCTCGCTTTGGACTTCCTTACGATTTATGCAGGAATCGCTCTTCTTGCGCTATGGAGTCGCGCTCTCGCTGGAGACTTGCTTGCAATTTACTGAAGACTAGCGCCCTTGCGTTGGAAATTCTTGCAATTTACTCCAGCGCCGCGCTCCCGACACCCAGACACCCAGGAGTCGCACTCACGCTTAGGATTCCTTCACAGATTACCTAGGAATCGGGATCTCGCTGCCCTTCGTGGCCCCGTTGCAGCCCTTCGTGACCCCCTCGCTTTGTTTCGTGGCCCCGTTGCAGCCCTTCGTGGCCCCCTCGCTTTGTTTCGTGGCCCCGTTGCAGCCCTTCGTGGCCTACTCGTTGCCCTTCGTGGCCAGGTTGCAGCCCCTCGTGGCCTACTCGTTGCCCTTCGTGGCCCCGTTGCAGCCCTTCGTGGCCCCCTCGCTTCGTTTCGTGGCCCCGTTGCAGCCCTTCGTGGCCCCCTCGCTGCCCTTCGTGGCCCCGTTGCAGCCCTTCGTCGCCCCTTCGCTTTGTTTCGTGGCCCCATATATGTATGCCCTTCGTGGCCCCCGCTCGTTCGCGCCCCGCCCCATATGCATGCCCTTCGTGGCCCCGCTGTCGCCCTTCGTGGCGCCCTCGCTGCCCTTCGTGT